TTTAGGGAGATTCCTTGGGCAAGTGTTCGACATGGCATGCGTCGTGTTCTATATTAAAAAGTATAAAAATCATGATGATATATAAATATGAAATATTAAAGAATTTAAATGGCGTGTCAGCTTCCTACTTTTTAGAAATTCACTAGTTGCCATGTCCATGGCGTGTCAGATTTCTACTTTTTAGAAATTCGCTAGTTGCCATGTTCATGTCGTGTTTGCATCCGTGCAACTCTATCTTCCAAACCATTTTTCCATTTTTCGGGGTAGTGTTAGAGGTTTTTAATTTTTTCTTTTCATTTGTTGTATTTCTGTTAGGTGGAACGATCGCTTCTGGTTACTGGGTTTGGGTATGAACATGATGATGCATGGGCTACCAATATAGAGTTATTCAAGGAATTCACTGACATCAGTCGGGTAAATTTTTTTCCGTTTCTTAATGGTTTATTTGATGATGCATGGGCTACCAATATAGATTTATTCAAGGAATTCACTGACATCAGTCAGGTAATCTTTTTTATTTTTTTTTTCATTTCTTTATGGTTTATTTTAATTTTTGTAAATTTACAGAGGCTTTATGGTTTATGTTCATCAATACTGGATAAAAGGACTTTCTGTGATGAACTTTCACTTCCCTGCCTCTCTCCTTAGGGTGTGAGAAGGCTTGGAGCTGCTGCAGTGGACATGTGTCATGTAGCTCTGGGAATTGTTGAAGCCTACTGGGAGTATCGTCTTAAACCATGGGATATGGCTGCCGGTGTTTTGGTAATTTCTTGTCCTCCAGTGTTAATGGGGAAAACACTCACTGGTCTCATTCTATGGGTTGATGGACACTTAGATCTCAATTCTAATTTCTTGGTACATACGTCCTTACAATAATACAAGTTTGGGGGCCAGTTTGCCGAAAAATTTAGAATGGGGACCAAGTCCCAATCGACCGAGAGAGCGGAGACTGGTGGCTGCAATTTCCCCACTAAATGTAATTTTCATGTACACTCCAGTCCCTTGCACGTGCTTCACATGGTGGACTTGAACTATGTGGAATAGTTGTAGAAATGTGTGATGCACAACATGATGTTTGATGGGTGGGAGGGGTGAGTGTACAGGGGGAGGAAGGGAGGGAGAAGGCAGGCAGGGGTCTAGGTAAGGACAGTGACCGTGGGGGTGGAAGTGGAGAATGGGATACAAGGTGGAGGTGAGGAAATAGACGAATACAAAGGGATAATCGATTATGAGAAAAAGAGGCTTGCTTTATATAATTTTGAAAGGTAAGGCTTTTTTCAATTGCTTCTCTCCAACTTGTCAAGAAACTACCTCACTTGATGATAGATCATTTGTGTTAGCGACAGACCCCTTGTCAGTTTCTTGGGTTACAAGGTGGAGGTGAGGAAATAGACGAATACAAAGGGATAATCGATTATGAGAAAAAGAGGCTTGCTTTATATAATTTTGAAAGGTAAGGCTTTTTTCAATTGCTTCTCTCCAACTTGTCAAGAAACTACCTCACTTGATGATAGATCATTTGTGTTAGCGACAGACCCCTTGTCAGTTTCTTGGGTTCCTCTGTGAATTTCAACAGCTTGTGGTTTTAATATGGTTTTCGTATTTCATCATGAGAAGTGTACCTTATAAGTGGTAGTATTCTTTCTGAGCTTATCCTTCTCATAATGTAAAAGATGTCTCAAATTAAAGAGGGATGCATCTAGAGCATTGCTTTTGTTTACTCTTTGCTTAGTTTCTGCTTAATTGAAGTAATTCCTACACTATTGGAGATAAAGATGGGCACTTCAGAGATTTTATTAGTTTCTTTTACATCCTATTTATGAAATTATGTTCAGGGACTATTCTTTTGCAGTAATTTATTTATCTAATCTCACGCTTTGAAGCAGATAGTTGAAGAGGCTGGGGGAACAGTTTCTTGCATGGATGGGGCAAAATTTAGTGTATTTGATAGATCTGTCTTGGTATCCAATGGTGTGCTTCATGCCAAGGTTAGTTTCTTCTTTAGTTTGATCTGCTGACTTCTGTTTCTGTGCTCGTGTTACTGTGTAGCTTCTGCTGTTATAGATAAGATTATTACTTGGTTCTGTAAAATTAAAAATCACTATTAAGTTACTTTTTCTATTTAGTCAAAGTCAAACATTAGTTTTAACTAGATTTTCACAATTACTACCCATTTATTAACCACATATTTCATGGGCCCAATACTATTCCTCTTAAAAAGTTACTAATAATTTTATCCGAACACTCCTGTACATATTATTTTACACATCTACTTCTGCATCTGAAAGTCATCTCTGTTTTCCTTTTTTTTTTTTTACCTTCTCCTTTCCCATGAATAGAAGGAAAAGATAATGATTTATCTCAATTATTAATGAACATTCATCATTTTGATACTTAAATTTTGATTCCTAAGTCAATTTTCCGGCTACATCTCCTTAGCAAACTAAGATGATCCCTTAAGAAAATAAACTTGTCTAATAAACTCCTTTTAGCACGTACTTCTTGCTTTTCCAAACCAGATTGTTGGTGCATAAGATCCACATTTTACCAATATGGAATAATTATGCAGCTTCTCGAGAGAATTGGCCCAGCAACAGAGAAATTGAAGAACGAAGGAATTGATTTCTCATTGTGGTATAAGCCAGAAAATTACCACACACAACTCTGAGAGAGATTCCTATGGTTACCAAGTTAAGTTTGTAACTACTGAGTCCAATACCACAAGCAGTTTTCTTCTGCCAGAGTAATTGAGAGATTCACAAACAATTTGTAGCTGTTTTGGGTTCCCATTGAACCCTGTACTCCTGTGTGCAGGAGAAAGTCTCTGTAAGAATAATAAGGACCCAAGGCTGTTACCATAGATCTATGGTAATGATAGGAATGGGGTCAGTGCTGGTGAAGACATGATTTTGATGTATCATAAAAACTGGTAGGGTTCTCTTTTCCATTGGGATGAGTCGTGTTATTGAAGAACGCATTAGATTCTTGTATGTCAATTTATAATATGAAACTTTGAGCAGCAGCACCCTGAAGAAATGCAGCATGTTTTCCTTCTTTCAGTTTAAGAATGCACCAGGTTACAGTCGATCGATCATATAACTTTCTTTTTATTGAGGATATGTGTATTGGCGAAATATAATATTTCAAACTGTTTCAACGATTTCCATAATGATGCTACAACTTGTCGAGATTCTGTTTATAGATTTGAGCTTTTTTAGTGTTGGAAAGTTTAGCTACCAGGGATGGGATTGCAACGAGTGCTGCAAGTACCACGAAATGCATTGTTCAGCAATCAGCACTGGGTCATCTGCATAATGAAACTCAACTTAACGTGATGATTAAGATCAGTGAAGGCATCAAAGTGGATCATTGGATAAAGAGCCCGTGGTATATTTTTACCACGTAAATCTCGTGTTCTTATTTGATCTATTTTTCATATTGTCATATTATTATATTCGTTTAAACCATAACAATAAAATATAAAAGAACATTTCTAAGAGACCTTTTAAAAGTGAAATGCTCTATATTTTAAAGAGTTGACCTTTAAAATTATGACTCGAGAGACTCTCCAAATTAACATTTAAAATAGAGAGTAGTTTTGAGTCTTCAAATTTGAAAAGTCAAACCCACTGTTCATAATTAAATGTATTCAAAATATTCTAATTTTCAATATTCCATATATGACCAACTAAAAAATATATACAAAGAAAATGAAGGGATATAATATAATAATTTGGGGGGAAGTTGGTGAAAATAAAAGATATGAAAAAACAATAAATATATACTGAAATTAGTAAAATTAAGTGTTAAAAATAAAGATGATATTAGAATATTTAAAAAAATTGCTCTCTAAATTGCATAATATGATTTTTTAAAATAGAGAGTTTTTTGGAGATACTCTAAAAGTATGGAGATTGGAAGAACTTTTTTGGACTGTATAAGTAAAATATATTTTATATTTTTACTTATTATTTATTTATTGGCATATTTAAATTAGAATGATTTTTAAATGTTAAAACATGTGCCAAAAATGCGTTCTATTGATGCAGTCCAAACAAAGTAAGTCAATCAGTCAGGACGACTAGGTGCTATAGGTTAACATATTCTTGACTACATTTTTTAAGGTTTCTAAACCCTAAACGAAGTGCAATATTTACCTACATTATAGCAGTATACACAGGAACATATACTTACCATCTTAGATATGTCTGATTGGTCAAATACTTAAAAAAAGGAAATATTATTTTAACAATTCAAAACTTTCCTTAATTTAATTATTAACTATATCAAACATTTACACACACACACACAAGGAAATATTGTTTTAACAAATTAAAACTTTACTTAATTTTATATTATTCTTATCGTGCAAAACATATTTTAAGACACGTTCGTGCCATTGAGGGGTCTTTACATAAGTAAAAAAAATCATTAAGAGATGAACGAATGCTTTGAGAAAAATCTGGCTATGTTCGGTGAACCTGTAGCAACAAGTTCTGAAGTCTTCTGATCATCTCCATGAGTTCTGACCGGTTCATGTTCCACTGAAATATCACAAAACAAAAATCGTGTTTTTCAATCGTAATTGAAGAAAACACACGTGCATGAACGATATAATCTTACTTAAAGATCATGCTACTGGCATGAGTTAAGATTGGTGAATCTTAATGCAAATGGGGATTGCGACCCAATATTTTACATTATCCTTCAACTAAGATTATTTTTGTTATAATAATTTATAACTAATATTGGTACATTGTCTATTCCAATTCTATATGATATGTTTAATTAAATTAACTAACATTAGAAACTCAAAATTAACCGCTCATATTCCATTAGTCCTACCTTTGTTCCATTAAATGCATTATTGCTTTGATTTCATACTGAATAAGCGAATAAGAATCGTTGCTGTCATGATGTTTCCTTTGCTGTACTATATTCTGTATATTAACTTTCTAATCTTTGTGAATTTTGAAATTATAATGTCTACTTTTTCTTTGGAATTAGGCAAATCGGGTGGCAAAATTGAAGCACTACTGGCTAGATGCTCGAGTTGAACAATGGCTTTCTCATGGTGATACTGATTGAGGTTCTCAATGCATTTTTCATACATGCATTCACATAATCTTTTCAATTACAATGTGATTATGTGAGGTAGGAATGTATTGAAATATTCAGTACTCATTTCTTGATTTTTTAGGTTATTTAATTCCGTAAATGTGAAAGGTTGGCATGGTATCATTGGCATGTATTTTTTTCATTAGATGATTTCATCCTACCACCGAAGAGAAGGTGATTACAAAAAGAAAACATCATGAGCTCCAATCATCTCTTATATATTACAAATACAGCTGCCAGCAAATTAATCTGGCTTATCTACATATAAAGCAAATAATACATTACTCATTGTAAAGAAGGAACTTCATCATTGAGTTCTTCCAACAATTTGCACTTAAGCTGCTTCTCTGACAAATGCACCGTGAATTTGCAGGCCTCCTTTCCACTTTCCACTCCACACTTCATATAAACCAAAATAAAGCTTAGTATCAGTCATGTGCTTCTCCGTCTTCATCAACTCACCTAATATCTCAAATGGTTGTTTTCCATTACCAATATTATTGGTGTTCAAAGAGACTTTTTTCCAAGAAATTTCTCCCTCCTGTCCTCTCTTCATCATAATGTAGACAGGATATTTGTTCCAACCAAATGCATCCGCCTTTAACGATATTTTGAACCCCACTTCGTACTTCTTTTTAGGATTTATCTCATCGACACAACTGCTAACTTCAAGCCAGGACACCTGCAACAGTTCTGCAGGCATATTACTATAAAAAGTGGTTAGTACAGTGAAAAGGTAAAACTATGATATTAATATGTTAATTAACTTAGGGAAATATGAAAATGGAAAATCTAGTGTGACTCACGGATTGTCCGGTAGGTTCCAGTAGCGGCCATCTTTGCCCCAAACTATGTTCAGAGCTTTGGCTGGAATATAGAAATTTCTACCATCTTTATCCTGTACAAACAAAACCATAATGTTTCTTTAGTTAACTCTTGATAATACAATAGAAATCTCCACTTCTTAATTACTTGAGGTATTGTATTTTCTTTTTACATATTGTAATGATCCTTGGATGAAGGCATGTGCATAGTGTTAGCGTAATTTTTTCTTAGCCAAGAAAAAAAGAGTTTTAGCAAGAAGTGTTAGAGATAAATAAATATTAGGAGAGAAACACAAGTTGTGGTAGTGTGAAGAAAATGAGGATATATAGTGTACCTTTGCTATCGTTGAACGATCTCCTTCATAGTGTGGACTCTTATAAACCATATTTAATCAATGTCACAAAAACTCTTTGAAAATTAGAATAAGTAGTATTCGGGTTACAAGTACATGAAGATCGATATGATAATTAACCTGCCTATTGATCTTGTGTATATATAGAGGGAGGGAAATTTTACTTTATGAGATTTTTCAAGAATCATTCCACAAGATGAACAGCAAAACCGTGTCAAGAGAATGCGACTGACTTGATAGCATCCCGCGTCAGCTTGTTAGAATATATTCTCAAGCAAAATTACCTCTGACTTTTATATTGGATTCCAGATGAGCCATAAAGAAAATAAAAGCTTATAAAAGTGAAAAGAAAAGGTAAAATCAAATAATAGTTGATAAGAAAAGTTTAATACATAGCATCAGCCCAGAGATTAACATGTCATCAAAAAGAGTTGTAATACATTCCCCTTGCTGCCGTCCTCTTCTTTTCAACTACCCACACGGCATAATAGCGATGGGAATTGGTCTACAATAAGAAGCATCTTCACTTTGAATATATTCCTTCATCCCTACATGTAGTGGAGCATATTTATCAACACAAGTGAATTTCAATTAGAATAATGCTACACTAACACAGCACCCCGGGATGTCAATCGAGCCGAGCGGCTCGTCGGCTAGCTCGTACTATTCATGCCCACGAGTACTTGGGTAGTGTAGCATGATTGTTACCTTTTTTCTTTCCCCATTGAGAACTTGGGCACCATTTCGCTTCAGCTTTCCCCGCGACTTTTTCCCCCATTTTGTTTTCTTCATTTCATGTGCATTTTTTTACTCACACTCTGCATGTACACATCGACCTTCGGTTTCCTCCGACGCCTCCGAGCTCCGAAGTCTCCGTTCATTTGGCCGGCTCCGATATCGCTTTAGTCAATATCTTCGACCACTTGTCGATTTTCACTTCTATCGATGACAGGAAAAGATAAAACCTGAAATTTATTGTAAAATATGAAGTTAAGTTTCAAATCTAAAATTTGTTGTGAACTCCGAAGTTTATTGTGCCCCTGTTTGACACACATTTTTTAAAAATATATTTTTTTTTCAAAACTCATTTTCAATCATTTATTTTTAAATAAAAAAAATTCTATTATATCAATAGTTTTTCCTTACTTTTTAACCACATATTTCCCATCATATCACTATTTAAAATACATTATTTCCTTAATAATATCCATCAAATACACTCTTAGTAATGATTGTTAGAAACATTATATAGTATGCGACTTATATGACAATTTTAACCACGTGTTCTTCAATAAAATAATATTTTTCATCACATCTATATCATTTCTTTTTAACCACATATTTCTCATCATATCACTATTTAAAATACATTCTTTTCTCAATAATATCCATCAAACACACGCTGTATTTTAAAATCTGAATTATTTTTTTAAAAAATCCGAAATTCATTTAAAATTCTGAAATTTAATTTCAAGGTAAATCTCATCTGGGGTTTTTATTGTTAGTAGAAGCATGATTGTGGGCAATATGATTTTAAGTAGAAGCATGGGCAGTATGATTTTAAGTAGAAGCATGATTGTGGGCAGTATGATTTTAAGTACAAGCATGATACTGAGCACTTTAATTTAGGCAGATTTAGGCAGGACATACTCATAAGAAGCTGCTCTTCTAGAAAACATATTCATAATAACAGTTCAATTTGCTTTTCATTGTAGGGAAAGAAATTTCGGACGACGTCAAAGCCGTTATGTTGGTGGAGCCCAATGACGAGAATGATATTGACAATACAAAATTACTGGGTGATGGGGTAATAGGTGGGGATAGTGTGGCTGTACCTGAGGTGGGCATGAAATTCAAGGATGAAAATGAAATATTCGAGTTCTATAAAAGATATGCATACGACTTGGGTTTTCCAATGAGAAAAAGAAATTCGAGAAAGGATGATGATGGAGTTATGCAATATGTTACATTTGTTTGTAGCCGTGAAGGAAAAAAAATCAATAAGACAAGCATTTCTCTGAAACCACGGGCTATGATGCAGAATGGATATAAAGCCAGACTGACCGTATATTCAGATATTTGTGGAATATGGCGAATTAAAAAAATACACCTTGATCACAATCATAGAACAAGTCCTTCGAAGTCCAGATTGCATCGATGCAACAGAGAATTAAGTGTTCAGGTGAAACGTCGGCTTGAAGTAAATGACATTGCAGGAATATCGCTGTACCAAAAGTTTCAACTCTGCAGTTGTCGAAGAAGGGATATGAGAATATGACCTGTGTTGAGAAGGACTGTCGAAACTATGTTGAACAAGTTAAGAGGTTAAGACTTGAAGAAGGTGACGCCGCAGCAATACAATCATACTTTTCGTCTATGCAAGCACGGTGCTCAGGGTTCTACTTCGGTATTAATTTGGATGAAGAGTCGCGTCTGAAAAATATTTTTTGGGCAGATAATAGGAGTCAGCAGGCATGTATGGAGTTTGGCGATGTTGTCACATTCGATACCACATACCTAATAAACAAGCCGTTTGCCCCTTTTGTTGGAGTGAACCATCACGGACAGTCGACACTCCTCGGATGTGGTCTCGTATCAAATGAGGATAGTAATACATATGTGTGGCTTTTTTGGACATGATTGCAATGCATGAACGACCAAGCTCCCAATGGGATAATTACTGACCAGGACAGGGCAATGCAGAACGCAATTCAGATCGTGTTTCCCAATACGAAGCATAGGTGATGTTTGTGGCACATATTGAAAAAGTTTCCAGAGAAGTTCGGATTTCATGTTGATAAAGCTTCGTTATTCTCTACTATACACTGATTGGTTTATGATTCTCAACTCGTTGAAGAATTTGAAGAAGGTTGGCTAGTGATGATAGAAACATATAATTTGCAAGATAACGAATGGTTGTCAGGTCTTTACGATAATAGATCCCGTTGGGTTCCTTGCTAAATTCCTGGGTAAATAAAAAAATGCACATAAGCAAAATCTATGCAGCTAAAAATACAGTACGAATTTGGTTTTTCTCTGAATAGACAGAGAGAGGTCCAAAGAGTTGGTTAAGAATTTGTGTGATGGGTAAATAGACTAAGAATAAAAGCCTTCGACAAATTATGTTGGAGAAGATGGGACCCGTCTTCGAACAGTAGACGAACGCCTTCGACGATTTCTCTGGTGCAGCTGGATAAACGTGACAGACGAAGATGAGGTCGGGTCCTTCTGGTGCAGCAAGCGAAGCAGCGTATGGATGCCTTCTTTTGGTGCCGGCGTTGGATGGTTGAGATAATTGGTGTGGCGCTGGAGGGTTTGGTGGATTTGGGGAAACAATCACAGTTGTGGGATTATGAGGGTTGGGTAGGGATATATGGAGTTTGAAACATAATGGGCCGGTTTCTTTATTCTTTCATATTTCTTTCTCTTCCTTTTTTGTTTTCTTAATTGTTGCTTTTTCCAGCTCAGCAGGTCACCCTTTATGTCATTCAATTCGGTAACAATAGCGCGATTGTTTTAATTAAGAGGATCCGTGTGAGTTGACATTTTGACTCGAGCTTAAATTTACGAGGATTCCAATGAGTTACACCAGCTAGATGCCTAGATCTTAGACATTGATTACGGACTGGTACTTACAGAATGAAATTTGATAATTATAAGGTTGACAAGGGCCAAAAAAATGTTGATTTGGACTTTGCGTCAATTAATCCATTTTGGAAACACCACTGATGGGTTTTTATCACGTGGGGTGGGCAGGATAAGGTTGGTTCTTCATATATATCGGCAACCTAATGAAGATCAAATGGGCTTGAATAAGCTATGAAAAATAGTAAGAAAGTGTTTGACACAAAATTTTTTGGATGATAGAATTTTTGGAATAGTGATTGATTGGAGAATGTGTGATGAAAAATTTTAGATTTGTGTATAATATTATTTTATTGGGAGGATGTGTAGTTGAAATGAAAAAAAAAAAAGAAAAAAATGAGAATGAGTGTCAAACAAGAGCTAAATTAGGCCCAATACGATTTATTAGAAAATTGATAAATACATTTTCACTCTTTAAATCAATCACGTTATATGTACAAGGATGGTTGACAAGGTTTGTTGACATCATCACATTCATCTATTTCAAAAACTGTATTTTAAATCAACTGTCCAAATTTTGCCACATCAAACATGACAAACAAACTTGTCAACTATTATTGTAGAAGTAGATTAATTCTTTTTAAATTGTATTTAAAAATACATGTTACATAAAAGAAAACCAAATGAGATTATGCCCCAACCAAATCCTAAATCCGTGATTTCTCTATGCCAATTTCCACAAATTTTACGTAAATTTTATACTTTGTCATTTGAGGGATCTTTTTTTACATTTTTGTCGGTGGAATTGAACAGAAATAACATGGTATTTTGATCATCAATATTTTCTGAACATTTTGTCATTTATTAATTTATGTCTCTAAATTATTTATTGGGTAATTGGCGCAAAATCTCCTTGACATTTGTCTTTATAGTGCGGAATACCCTTACATCTTTTCAAATTGTCGAAAAACTACCCAGATAACCTTTTACAGGCTAATTCAGAAAAATAAAATAAAAAAATCTTAACTTTTAACTACACATTCTCCATTAAAATACTATTTCAAAATGCATTTTGGGCAAAAAAAAAAAAATGGAACTCGTACATGCGCTAAATATTATATATTAACAATATATTTATATCTCTATTTCACTCCCTATTACAATTTTAAAAAAGTCCCAATATTACTACAATTTCTCCATTTTTATCCCTCAGTGATTGATATGTTTGTCATACCTGAGCATTTGATGCCTACGGAATACATTTTTTTATTTTTTGCAATTTGTTATCTCTTCTCTTAACAAAAAGCTCTGAAAAATCTCTTTACTGATCAAATTTTGTTTAACGATGGTTTTACTATGTGACAAAGAGATTGATTTTTTAGGGTGATGTGAGAAATCTAAGTAATATTTGAGTGAATTTGGTGGCATGGAAAACTCAAAACAAAAATAATCAACTTCGTTTTATAAACAGACAGACTTGTAAATTGTTTCATTGTTACCAAATGTTAAAGCCACAAAATATTTTATGAATATTAAAATTTTAATTAAAAGTAAAGTTTAAAAGAATATAAAGCTTGAGAATAATTATTTTTAAAAGTGGATAGATGTATAAAAATGATAGATTAAAATAGTTCTGGATTTTTTAAATTTTGGCCCTTTTTAGTTCTGGGTTTTCGTTTAGGGGTGAGTTGATGTCGTGGGGTGGGGTGTTGAGATCCTGTATGGTATAAATAAAAGGTTTGTATATAATTTACAAAATAAATAAATAAAGATTGAGACTATAGCTGTAATTATTTCCTTTTAATTTTAGCTCTCTTTAAGTGAATTTAACGGCTCTTGTGAGGACTTAGATGTAGGGGACTTAAAAAATCATTCACTAATTTAAAAGGATATGGATGTATTTGGACAAAAGTCAACTAGATTTCGTGCTACCTTATTTATTGTTGACTTGAGTACATAAGTTTTGGTTATTTTGAGTAGGGGTGGACAAAATGTCCTGATCAAATCAGACCAAACTAAAATCGAATCAAACCAAACCAAGCGGTTCAATTCAGTTTTACAAAAAAATTTAATAGTTTTGGTTCTTCGAACAAAAAATTATTTGGTTATAGTTTTGGTTCGGTTCCAATCTAAAATCAAGATATTAATTTTAATTGTATTCAATATTTGTGTTTAAATATCACTTCAATGCATTATTTCAAATTCAAATTCTCAAAGTCCCAAACAACTCCAGATGCCTTCCTAAATTCCTAATCCCTCAGACATCAAACAACACATATATTCTGTGCGGAAACTCTAACTTTGTCGCCACCAATTTGCTGTTCCTCCAAACCATCAAGGGGTATAGTAAAAAATATCATAATTTACTGGACATCTTTATTTTCTTTCATAGTTTTTTGTGCAACTTTATACATATTAGTCAAAAATTCTAGTCAGACAATANATTATTCATGTCATAAAATATTTTTATTGAATTTTTATATATGTCAATTTCAAAAAAAAAAAAAAAGTTAAAGTAGACTACAAATATTAATTTCTTATGCAAGTTTGAAAATTTAAGTAATAGTACTAGGACAAGACCAAACCGAACTAGAACCAATGGTTCGGTTCGGTTCCGTTCGGTTCCGTATCTTAAAAAAACTATTTGGTTCCATTATCAAAAAAATTATTGGTTCATGATTCGATTCGATTCGATTCTCTTGGAACCAGAACTAAATGGAACCACATCCACCCTTAATTATGAACCTCATTTTTATTGAAAAATGCATTTTGAAATAATAGATTGATATAGAATGTGTGGTTAAAAATAAAAATTTAAATTTTATATTTTCGTATAATATTATTTTATTAAAAAATATATTATTGAAAAGAAAAGAGAAAAAAAATATTTTTTTAAAATAAGGGAGATTATAAATGAAGTGCAAGATGTTTTTGCAAAATGACTCCTGCAGCCACTTTACTTCCCCAATTTAACCTCGGCCTTTTCCGTCCCTAAAAGCAAAGAGTAAAGACTAAACAGAGGGTGGACGAGAAAAAGGGCTACAATACTATACTACAGTGATCAAAATTTCTAGATCTACAGGCAAATAGTACCTAAACAGCTAAATATTATATACCCTAGTTAACAAGCTAGCAATCAATCCAACAGCTAAATTGAAAATGGCTCAAAACAGCAAGAAAACGCTGATCTATGCGCTGGTGGCGCGTGGGACGCCACCGGTGATACTGTCGGAGTACACAGAGTTCAGCGGTAATTTCAACTCTATAGCTTACCAGTGCCTTCAGAAGCTTCCTTCTTCCAACAATAAGTTCACCTACACCTGCGATAGCCACACCTTCAATTACCTCGTTCACGATGGCTTCAGTATGTGCTAATTTTCCTAGTATTAGCTCTTACCGATAATTTTTTTTTGTTTTTTCTAAGGCTTTGCGTGGTTACAGTAATTTTGAGTGTATAGTAAGGTGTTGATTTATGAGTTTGGAACTGGGAACGGGACGATTTGAGTTATGATTATATTTTTATAATTGAAATATATGATTATTCGCACAATTGTCTCTCAACATGGATTCCGAGGAAATTAACAGTGTCGCCTTATTTTGACTTCTTTCTCTGATGACTTGCAACATTTAATTTTCTTAATAATTTGAAAGGTTTCTCGAGTGTGAATCCAAAATTGTTAACTGCTTCAAAGAAATTATTAAAATAATGATACATTTTATGAAAGGGGTGATTTGGATGCAATTTCCGTGCCTTGTGAGAATCTGAAATGAGCCAAAAAGTCATTGCTATTTTATTTTTGCCCCTTATCGAGTCATATTTTTTGTCCATTATTGGTCTTCGCATTCTGTGCAGCATACTGTGTGGTTGCTGAAGAATCAGCAGGAAGACAGGTTCCTATGGCCTTTCTGGAGCGAATTAAGGATGACTTTGTAGCAATGTATGGTGGTGGAAAGGCTGCAACAGCTCCTGCTAATAGCCTTAGCAAGGAATTTGGGTATTTTTTATTATTGTTACAGTTATGAGATGGTTTGAAATGTTTATTTGTGTTAATGAAACTGATATTTAGAAACGCCATATTACAGACGAAAGTTGAAGGAACATATGCAGTACTGCACTGAGCATCCTGAAGAGATAAGCAAACTTTCAAAAGTGAAAGCACAGGTTTCAGAAGTTAAAGGTGTTATGATGGAAAATATTGAGAAGGTACGGAGAGTGTTGTTTAGCTTGTATATTCTGGAAGTTTGAAACTTGACCTAGGATTACAAACTTTTATTGTTTTGATGATTAATAATTATATTGAGATACATAAACTACTTTAACTACTTTCCGCTCAATGGTGATAATAAATAGTTTCTCTACTGTCATCCAATCATATAAGCATGTTCTAGGAGCCATGCTAATCTCATTGATTCAGTTGTTGAGAATTGAAACTTGGGCTACCTCGAGTATAAAGTATGTTCAGAAGGGAGGAATACCAGTTCAATCTATAACATGAGAAAAGATAGTGGATAATCACTCGTGTTACCAGATGCACAAATGGCCATGAGAAAAATTGATAACAACTGTGACCACTGAAACCTATACTGATCAGTATCATGGAATTAAGTGGACAAGTAAAAATCATACAATGAATAAAAATAACAATCTACCAAACTGTTTTTCAAATACACCCTAGTCCCATAAAGATAGACTTGTTTTCCTTTTTTTGTCTGCCCAAATTATAGGCCACTTTCAGGGAGTATAATTAATTTCTTAGTTTTCTAATATACCCCTATTTAATGTGCCTTATTATTAACAAATATGAACTATTCTTATTTAAACAATTATTTAATATAGGCTTATATTAGAAAAAATATAAGAAAAATCATATTTCCAACTATATTAATTACATTTTCTTAATTGATGTGAAAATGGAAACATGGGGGTGGAGGGAGTAGAAATTTATGATGCTGAAGTATGAGGTATCATTGAAAGACACACAAGGCCAATTTGTTGGATAGCCTGATTTTTCCTGCCCATGGGGGTTGAACTTGAACAGGAAGTGAACCCCAAATAACTAAGAGCTTGTTTGAGCCAGATTTTTTGTTAAGAATGTATTTTGGAATAGCAGATTGATGTAAAATGTGTAGTTAAAAAATAAAGAAAATTTTTAGATTTGCGTGTAATATTATTTTATTGAAGAATGTGTGGTTGAAAAGAAGAGAGAAGAATGTATTTTGGAAATAATGGGGATCAAACAAGAGCTAAGTAATTTTTGGTTTCAATGCACTGGAGATTATCGCAAACTTTTTAATCTAGCCTTCTTATAGGATGGAACTTATAAAGTTAAATTGCACATCGGCTTATTAAGTTGTGTTTTCCCTTATATGGTGAAACTTGAAGAAATATTAATTATATTATATTATTCTGTTCACATTGTCACCTACAATCACATACAATTTGGACAGTGGACAGAAATCAATGAGTCTATTGTATTCTTTGATTTGATTACATGGTTTCTTTGTGTGTAGAGATCCCTGCCATAAAAGAGAGAGCTCCTAGGCCTTATTCTGCAGATCAAAGAGCGACGTGTGTGGAGAGCTTCTAATATTCATCTTTTTTTTTTATTTTTGCTACACTATGATGCCTTTTCTCTTCTCTTTTCACTTTTCCTTTCAACAAGTGGTTTCCATTATTTATTTTTTTGGCAGTGCCTGATGAGGACACAGCCCCAAATGAGGAAGATATTTTATTTTAAACAAAACATGAAGTTAATTTGAAAATAAATCTTTCATTGTTTGATGCATCTTTGTGGATGAATGCCATTTTTGGCTTTATTAAGAGGTACTTTGGCTTGGCCATCTGTTATGTTATCTTTGTTGTTTATTATAGGTTCTTGATCGTGGGGAGAAGATAGAGCTTCTTGTGGATAAGACTGAGAATCTTCATCATCAGGTATGTCGATATCTCTGCAGGTGCAACTGCGCATTCAGCTGTTCTTTTAATTCTGTTGAGATTGGTTTTGATGTAGCCATTGTTGCAGGATAAAAATGAATTCAAATAGCTGAACATTAAAATTATTGATGAGAACAATATTTAGTTTTTTGTTTTGAGAGTGGTTTTGCCTCCTGTGTTTTCACTTTTCTTCTTTTCTTGGATGAGTTTTCAATGACTGCTCTTTCACTGAAAGTAGAGCCTGGAATAAAAGGACGCAGAACTGTTAACCCTGATACATGCAGAATTCATACAGAGAAAGAAGACGGGGAGAATAAGACGAAGATTTTGGGGTGGAAATTTGTTATTCAATAGCTGAATACAATGAAATTCACTTTTTATAGGGTAAAGAAGTTAAAGGAATAGAAAACTGAAACCTTGTTAAATATAAAAACTAATAGAATCCAATCTACACAAAATCTAATGCATGTTTGGCAAAGCTTAATTTTTTAAAGCTGGTCAAACATACTATCCACGCATTTTTAGGATTCCAATTTACCATCCACTTGTTGTCCACGTATTTCGTAGAACTCATAAGTACTTGAAAAATATTTAAGCTTTGCCGAGCATGCACTTATATCGAACTCTATTATAAAATATTTTTTCTCATAATCCATATCCTTTTTATTTATGTTTTTTTTTTTTGAGGGAGTCCCAATTCATATCTTTTCCGTGTCCAAACTCTATTTTAATCCTCATCTTTATTAACCATCAGATAGATTATTCCTAGTTTTTGGGTTGATTTTAGATCTAACAAATGAACCAGCAAAAAATGATTCAGGTAGCCAGCCTCATTATTTCTTGAGAAATCATTTGAGTGTTTAAGTTGATTGAGTTTTGGGCCTGACACCTATTGTGGTTCCTGAATTTACTAATTTATTTGGTTGACATTTTAATTATGCAGTCAAAGTGGAGCAATGATTTTGATTACTTTTATGTAAGAAGAAGAATAATTTTTTTGTGCTATTGACTTTCGCCTATCTCGTTAGACTTCAAATTTGAAAAGATGCACGAAAAAATATACTAACAATATTGTGAGATGGGAATTTTGTGCTCCTCGATGAATCCATTTTCTTGGTGTTATTATGGAGGCATTGATGATAAGGCACATTATAAAGATTACGTCTTTTTGAAGACATTGGTATATATATCTTAAATATTTTGTTGAAACAGGCACAAGACTTCAGGAATACTGGAACAACACTTCGGAGAAAAATGTGGCTGCAAAACATGAAGATTAAACTCATTGTTTTGGCTATTGTTGTTGCCTTGATCCTCATCATAGTTCTGTCTGTCTGCAAGGGGTTCAAATGTTGAAAAAGAATATTATCTGGCTACGACGTGTGCTGATCTTGTTGCCAAAGCATCTTAGACTGCCAAGAAATCTGTTATTATATGTACGTACAGAAATATCTGTAATTTTCATAGATTGCTGAGAACTACTTTTTTTTTTTTCCATCCACAAAGTTATATCGTGTATTTGCTAACATTTTGTTACAACTTCTCCGGCAGTATATGCACCTTTAGCTTCCTCTGCACTGCTGTTTCGTAATTTCATTTTGTTTTCTTAGGCACCGTTTGGTAACCATTTTCTAGAAAAGAATGCATTTTTTGTGTCAAATCACACTTTTTTTTTTTCCATCCACAAAGTTATATCGTGTATTTGCTAACATTTTGTTACAACTTCTCCGGCAGTATATGCACCTTTAGCTTCCTCTGCACTGCTGTTTCGTAATTTCATTTTGTTTTCTTAGTTTGCCTGTATATGCCCTCTCTACTGCTCTGGGCAAGCAAAGTGAGATGGTTGAAGCAGGCGAAAGCATGAATCTGCACAAGCAAAATTACTTGTAAACACAAAAAACTAATTACGTATATTAACAGGTTTTATTTTGTGAACTTCTTTCGTTGCCACCCCGTGTGATAAAAATAAATAATTCTTGGCCACCCAATTTATAATGGTCACCCAGTTTACAATTCAATTTTTTGCAATTTAAAATTTCTAATTTTTTTCATTAAATTGACATTTGGATGTTCAAGGGTAAGTTGGTACACTACTCTTTTATAATACGTCATACAACGTGAAAGCTTTACACTAACAACGTGATATTGGTTGCGTAACGTAAACAAATTGAAAACTTGAATTACCAATTGGAACAATTTAAATGAATTATTACAAATAGGGTAATTTTTACATTGTTGATGCTATAATCTCCCTTCTTTTCACTTTTATAACTTTTTATTTTCTTTATGGCTCATCTGGAATCCAATATACAAGTCAGAGGTAATTTTGCGTGAGAATATATTATAACAAGTTGACACGTGATGCTATCAAGTCAGTCACATTCTCTTGACACGGTTTTGCTGTTCATCTTGTGGAATGATTCTTGAAAAATCTCATAAAAGTAAAATTTCCCTCTCTATATACACACAAGGTCAATAGGCAGGTTAATTATCATATCTATCAATCTCCATATACTACTTATTCTAATTTTCAGAGGGTTTTTGTGACATTGGTTAAATATGGTTTATAAGTCCACACTATGAAGGAGATCTTTCTCGTACTCTCTAACGGTCAAGTCAATTGGGAAAATAAATATATGAGAGTGAGAGGGATTTAGATGCGATCCTTCAATGTAAAAAGAGGGTTGACTTTGGGGTGTATATCGAAAGTAATAAAAGAGCAAAGTTATAGGTCGAGAGTATTAAACTTCCATTACCTTTCGAATGTCATATTCTGTGAGTTTTTATAGTTGAAAATGATGAAAATTGGTCGTAGGATAAATGTATACGTGGCTCCATCCACATGGCTAAGGCCTCTTATCAAAGGCATATATATAATGTGTGGACTTTTGAGAAGAAAAAAACTAATGTTAGCTTAATAAATCCTAAAGTCCATGTATGGTTATTTATATCATGCACGAACTTTTGAGTTGAAGATTTCGTACCAAGGCTAGACCCACTTTGCAAGGGTCGTGCCTTTGTTTATTTCAGCCTTAACATAGATTTCAAATACATCAACAAGCTCGCCTTCTTTCAGCCTTAACATAGGCTTCAAATACGTCAAAATTGAATTTATTTAAAAAACGAAGAGTGTTATTGATTTACTATTTTCAAGTTGTTTTCAATTTGCAAAATATTGAAAACGTATTTGGCCTGATATTTTTGAATATGCATTTTCGAAAACAATGATAAACTTATAACTCAACACATTTTTTATGTTTTGAGCATTTTCAGTGAAATTCTACAACCACTCAAAACATGAAAAACGAGCCCTTATTTGATATCATTAATTTCAAAATACATTTTCCTTATATTCTTTTCAATCACACGTTCTTCAATAAAATAATATTACATGCAAATTAAAAAATTTTCATTATTTTTTAACTATACATTCTCCATCAATTTACTATTCTAAAATGTATTCTTACAATAAAATGGGAAACAAAGAGGCTCCAAGTATTTATATAAAAAAAATGTAAAATTCTAAAAAAAAAATTTTATAAAAAAATCAAAATTATAAAATTATAAAAAAATTATAAAAATTATAAATTATAAAAATTTTAGAAAAAATAAAAAAATTATAAAAACAAATAAAAAATAAATAAAAATAGTTCAAGCTCTTATCAATATTTACACAAAAAATTTAATATTAAACTTAATTTTTATTTTTATTTCATAAACTTAATTTATTATTTTAATTTTAATTTTGCAGCAAAAAAATATTGTAAGATTCACCAACTTTAAAATGTAATATTATTTGATAATATATTAACATCAAATTATTTTATTTTTAATGAATAATCAAATTTCATTGAATAAAATATCATAAAATAATTTTGCAAAATTTCAAACCAAACGTATGTTCTAATTTTCTGTTTTGAAAAATAAAATTTTAAAATAACAACCCAAATGCATTTTAAGAAATCTTAAAATAGATTCTCAAAATTGAAAATCGAAACACAAACCAAACATACCTATTTTTTTTTAACTTCTAATTAAAGATTGCAAGTGAGGGTGCAGTCCAATTCCGAAGAGAATCGAATCAAATAAACTCACAGAGCATTAATGATTATTATAAGTTTCCGTTTGACACACGTTCTTTAATAAAATAATATTTTTCATCATATCAATAATTTGTTCTTATTTTGTAACTATATATTTCTCATCATATCACTATTTAAAATATATTATTTTTTTAATAATATACATCAAACACACGCAAAAAATGGAACCGATTCATAATAGCTTCTAGTTCCATATGAATCTATTTTGGCTCATTCAATTAAGTTCTCAAATTCTTCTAACCTAACTTTATTGAGTACAATATACTAATAATATTTTGTAGTGCATGTAATAAGTGGAGAGAGGACAAACTTTTTGAGCCTTATTTTATTGTCAGATTGCACTATCATTTTATTTTATTTTTTTTGTTAAGATCATGTTTGGTCCACATTATTTTTTTCATTCTCATTCTTTTACTCATTTTCAACAATATTCTTCAATAAAATAATATTTTTCATCACATTAATAATTTTTCTTTATTTTTCAACCACATATTTCTCATCACATCAACAGTAAAAATGCATTCTTACCTTCAAAATGTGCACAAAACGGAAGTTAAGAATGCATTTTAAAATAGCATATTAATGAAGAATGTGTAGTTAAAAAATTTGAATTTACGTGTAATATTATTTCATTGAATGCAAACAAGGGTCAAATGTCATATAGCAATGATAATAAATAAGCTCAAATTTAATCAAAGCCGCCTCCATAAAAATAAAATTTATTTTTTTTATCTTTTCTTATCAATCATACATTTTTCAATAAAGTAATATTATACGTAAATATAAAAAAATTCTTTATTTTTTAACCATATATTTTTTAAAAAGTTATTATTTTCCTCTTTATAATTTGGAAAAATAGAGCCCAAAAGAGGCAAAAGAAGACTCAAAAAAGTTATCCATTTCCACTGAGAATTCCAGGGAGGAAAGTTTGTCAACTCGTTAAATTTTTCTCTGTTTTTAAATCATTCGGTTAGCTGTTGCTTTCACGATAATGACTATATTAACTATTAAGATAAAGAAAAAAAATTAATAAGTTTTATGTATTATTAAATAATTTTGTTTTATGAGACTTAAATTGTTAATTTCAAAACCAAAATTTTGTTCGAATAGAAATAGTTCTTGAAATGCTATTTGAAATATTAAGCCCTGTTTGGCCCCCATTAATTTTCATTTTTGCAGATTTTCACACTTTTTAACACACTAACCTGTTAATTGAGTCAATCACACGCATTAATTTTCAAGACAACCGATGGTCAATTAAAGGACGAAAACACCCTCGCTCTCGTTTTGATATTTACACAATAGTATGGGCGAATTTGTCATTCATGACATTAATAGTTATATTAAAATATAAGAAATTCATTTTAAATTCATTTTCAGTACAAGGCGTTGCATCAAAGAATCAGTGGGTCCCAGTCGGGTTGAACTTTTGACTGAAGAAAATGAAATTTAATGAATCTTCCTCATACATGCTCACTTTCTTCCCCATTTTCTCGATCATTCTCGAATCTTCCTCATACATGCTCACTCTTATTACGAATCTTAATAGCAAAGCAAAGCTAAGCTAAGCTAAGCCCTTGTTGGTCATTTCGTCCCAAGCCCTACCAGTGTATAAAAAGGACCTTAGTCCCTCCCTTGACCTACACAGATCATTTGCTTGTTAAAGAGAGTAGTGAGATTCACAGTTTATTGAGAGAATGGATGGTGGTGGCAGAAAGAACTTTGGCCGGCGTGGTGGTGGTGCTTCCGGTGGACGTACCGGCGGCAGAGGTGGTAACTATCAGGGTCAGGGTGGTGGAAGAGGGAGGGGTGGGGCCCCGCAGGGTCCTCAATATCAGACTCCGGTTCAGCAGCATTGGGTCAACAGGCCGCCGTATCAAGGTGGTGCTGGTGGCTCTCAAGTCAACCCATCGCCGCCTCCGCGGGCGTGGGGCAACAGGCCGCCACAACAAGATCAGGGCCAGGGAAGTGGTAGCGGAGGTCAAAGGCCAGCGCAACAGCCTCTGCAAGTCGGCGTGGGGCCTACTCCTCCGAGAGGAGCTTGGACTGCAAGACCCTGGGGCCCTCCTACCGACGCTTCATCACCTGCTAAGCCCCAAACTCAGCTTCAGCCTCAACCTAAGCCTCAGGGGCTGCCTCAATCATCTGCCGGTACGATCTCTTAATGATCCAAAGCCGTTTCTTTAGATCTCGTGTAAAACAGTTTCATATTTTTAATTTTTTGGTCTCAGCTGATTTGTTTGGTTGAGATTGACTCTTAGGATACTTCAATTTTGCTCCTACATTGTTGCCTATATGTCAATTGGAGATTGATCTTGCCTCAATTTTATTTGGTGATTTGAGTTTTATTGGTAAAAATGATCTTTCTTATGGTTGAGAGAAAATTTAAGATAACAAATGGGGATCGCATGAAAATGTTTTCTGTTATGAAGATAATAGGAACAATTATTTAGTTCAATTTCGAATGGTGTGACGCAGATTCTTGCCATGGAAGTAAGCACTCTTTAATCAGTTAATGATTTTAGCTTTAAACTATAATAGATATCGTTTCTACATGTAATATACCAAGTTTGGAATTCTTTACCTTTTTATTAAATTCTTTTATGTTGTCTTGTGTAGTTGATATCCAATCCTTGAAGATTTCAGAAAGGCAGCATATATCATCTCATTCAGAAAGTACTGAGAACAGAACCATGCCTATCAAAAGGCCTGATCGTGGAGGGTCACTTGCCATCAGGACCATCCCTCTTCTTGTTAACCATTTCCCTGTCAATTTTAATCCAGATGCAACCATAATACACTATGATGTGGATGTTAAGGCTGTGGCGTCCCCTGGGGATCGGTTTGTGAAAAAGTCAGTATCTAAATCTGATTTGCGTCTAATTAGGGAAAAGCTATTCTCTTCTGGTGATAGTCGGTTTCCTTTGTTGAAGACTGCTTATGATGGTGAGAAGAACATTTTCAGTGCAGTAACTCTTCCCACTGGAGAATTTAAGGTGGAGTTGTCTGATGGGGAAGATTCTAAGATTCGATCTTACTTATTTACCATCAAATTTGTGAATGAATTGAAGCTCTCCAAGCTGAAAGATTACTTAATGGGGAATCTGTCCAATATTCCTCGAGATATATTACAGGGAATGGATTTGGTAATGAAGGATAATCCTTCGAGGAATAGAATCCCTGTTGGTCAAAGCTTTTACTCCCCTAATTATAGAGCGGGGGATGATCTCCAACATGGACTTGCAGCATATAGAGGTTTCCAACAGAGCTTAAGGCCTACATCCCAAGGTCTTACATTGTGCTTAGACTACTCGGTATTGGCATTTCGTAAGCCATTACCAGTACTAGAGTTTCTGAAAGAGCATGTTCGAGGGTTCAATGGAGTAAATGATGTCACAAAGTTGAGGCAACAAGTGATCGGTGCATTGAAATTACTGAAAGTAAGAGTTACTCATAGAGTCACGAAANGTCGGAGGAGTATCGGTGTCCGATACGTATCGAACACCGATACGTTGTCGTCGGAAGCGTGTCGGTGCTTCTGAGCCGGTGGTATTTCCTTTACATTTGATGACTCTGATGGCATAAATCCTCCCACAGCAATCAACTTTGTTGATTATTTTATAGATATGTGGGGAAATAATATTGTGTACAAGGACATTCCATGCTTGGATCTTTCTAAATATAACGGGCCCAATTATGTGCCTATGGAATTCTGTGTCTTAGTTGAGGGGCAGAGATACCCCAAGGAACAATTGGAATATTTGGACAGAAACGCAGGCTTGCTCTTGAAGAAATTATCAGTTCCTCTATCACATGAAAGAAAAAATACAATCTACGAAATGGTTCATGCCAAGGATGGACCTTGTGGGTAAGTACAATCACCTTCTTCATTTCTTTATTTGCATTTGTGTTTGCTTGTGTTGTTTTCCCCAGTGTTATCTTCTGTGGTACCTTTCATTGGATAATGTGGGATAAAATATACTTCTCAAGAATTGCAAATGATATACGAGGATTCCTGGACCTCAGGCATTTTATATTTGTCTGTTCAGTATTCTAGTGATGGGGTCATCGTTTGTTCAAGTCATTGAATATCTATGTGCTTTAATTGAATATGATGAACACTCACATTGAAATCTAGGGAAACAAAGGATATAAGTAATCCACGTTTCTGATAATCTGGTTGTTCTGCATGTAGGTGCTACTCTACAGAACTTTGAACCTTCTTGCATGCAGATAGTTGAAAATGAGTTGAAATTCCTTAATTTACCCTGTTTGAGTTCTTTGTAAAATGAACAAATTATTGCAAATGTAAAAGTGAAAATATTTGTGTAGAAGAATAAGTAAAGTGTCTGGCAACTTGTGATTCAGTTGAATATACTTTTTACTCTGTTGAACGTTGTTTGTGAGGATATTATGGTGTTATTAATCTGTTCAAATTATCTGTTGTAGGGATGTCATGAAGAATTTTGAAATTGGAGTTGACAAGAACATGACAAGGGTTACTGGTCGTGTCATCGGTGCTCCTGATCTGAAGCTTGGTTCTCCCAGTGTGGTGAAAGTGGATAGGGATAAATGCCAGTGGAACCTTGTCGGAAAATCTCTGGTGGAGGGAAAATCAATTGAACGTTGGGCTCTGATTGATTTCACCTATCGTGATAAATTTGAGCTGCGTGCGGAGACATTCGTCAGGAATTTGAAGAACCGTTGCAGTAGTCTTGGAATGTCTATGGGTGAGCCTCTTTGGTATCATTCCACTGATATGAGAGAATTTTCATCTTCTAGCAGGATCGAGGGACTTCTTAGCAGTGTTGTTAAGGAGGCTACAAAGGTAAAAAGTGGCAAGTTGCAATTGATTGTCTGTGTGATGACAAAGAAAGATCCTGGCTATAAGTATCTTAAATTTGTGTCTGAAACAAAAATTGGTGTTATAACTCAGTGTTGCTTGTCCATGAATGCAAACAAAGGGCAAGACCAATACTTGGCAAATCTTTGTATAAAGATAAATGCAAAACTTGGAGGAAGCAATGTGGAGCTAAGTGGAAGGCTTCCTCATTTTGAGGGTAAAGAGCAGGTTATGTTCATTGGGGCAGATGTGAATCACCCGGGGCGAAAGGACTCATCTTGTCCATCTATAGCTGCAGTTGTGGGCACGGTTAATTGGCCTGCTGCAAATCGGTACGCTGCGAGAGTGTGTCCACAGGAGAGTGGCAAAGAGAAGATTCTAAATTTTGGGATGATGTGTTCAGATCTGGTTAATACTTTTGCTCAGATCAACAGAGTCAGGCCGAGCAAAATTGTGGTTTTCCGTGATGGTGTTAGTGAGGGTCAATTTGACATGGTCCTCAATGAGGAGTTGATTGATCTGATGAGGGCAATTTACAGTGATGATTACAGACCACCAATAACACTAGTCGTTGCTCAAAAACGGCACCATACTCGACTCTTTCCTGAAAATGCTCGCGATGGGGGTTCATCTGGCAATGTTCCTCCAGGAACTGTGGTGGATACAACAATTGTTCACCCTTTCGATTTTGATTTCTACCTGTGCAGCCACTATGGAGGCCTTGGGACCAGCAAACCTACTCACTACTATGTTCTCTGGGACGAGAATGGCTTCAATTCTGATAGCCTGCAGAAACTCATTCACCACATGTGCTTCACTTTTGCACGTTGCACAAAACCAGTTTCACTTGTGCCGCCGGTTTATTATGCCGATCTTGTTGCTTATAGGGGGCGTCTGTTCCAGGAGGTTGCAATGGAGTTACAGCCTCGTGCGTCGTCCTCTTCGTCGTCGTCATCTGCTGCTGCTTCTTTTGACCAGGGTTTCTACACTCTGCACCCGGAACTGCAGAACATAATGTTCTTTGTCTGAATGGCCTGCCTGAGCTGGGCAGGCCATGTAATCTCCTGGTGAAGGAGATTGAGCCAAATCGTCCAACCTCCTTTCCTATGTCTAGTAAAGGAGTTTGTGCGTGAATCTAATGGGGGTTTTTGTCATGTGTTGTTCAAGGTGTATGTATGGTCATTGGAGCTACATGCACTGACATGATGGAGGCCAACATGGTGTTGTTAATCTATGTATGGTGTGCTATGGATGAAGTCAGACTTTGGGTGTGTCGTCTACTTTTTAATCTTTGTTTGTAATGACTGTCTCTGTATTTCTAGGCGTCTGTCGAACTAGTATTGTGCAAGCCTTAATTATTGTTCTTATTATTTTTATCTCAACTTATTATTACTGCGTTCGGGAATCATTCGTAACTTAATACCAAGGACTTCTGTTTACAACCCACAATTGTAATTGCTATAATTTTCTTTCATTTTTATTAAGAAAAACTAAGCCTTGGTCATTTAGAGAAACAAAGCTTTTGAAAAATGTGTATATTGAATTTACATACATAATATTTTGTTATTGTGTGAATGTATACTTATAACAAGTGTAGAAAATAAGAATTTTTGGATAATGATTGTCAAATTGGAGCTAAAATACAGTATTTTATATGAATAATGCTATTCTTCTAGATTTAGATGATCAACAATAAAAAAAAATGGTGAACATCCATAATTTTCTGACCTTTTAATTCATTTCGATTTGCGTAATGCGTTTGGAATTGGACACCATTATTACGTATTTTAACAATTCTTTGATAATTTTCTGAACTTTTAATTCACTTCGTATTGCGTAATGCGTTTGGAATTGGACACCATTATTACGTAATATACCAATTCTTTCATCTTTAACTATTTTGGGTGTTCATTTTCTTTACGAAACTTCATATGGGACCAGCTTGATTTCTACGTTTTCTGAATTCTAAGCTTTGATGGCTATTATGTGGATCTACATCGGTGCTTGTTTAATTGCTCCGCAACTGTAAATTCTTCATTTATTCTCTTTTAAGTTTTAAGTTAAACTTGGATAATTCAGTGGATTCTTTTCCCCATCACACCTCACTTAGGGATTACACTGGTTTTCCTTTTCTTCTGCAGTTTTTGTCCTTGTTCATGTTCAGATGGATCTTTGTTTCTATCTTTCTTTTGCCTATTGAGATAGTTGCTGGGCTGATCAAATATTTGATATAAACAAAATTTTGTATTGGGATTTTCAATTTAGGGGGAGTAATTCGTGTTCGTTTAATTTCTCTAGTCTACCTATGCTTACATATTTTTTTCAATTTTTAATGAACATTATCTATATGTTCATGCCCTGATGCCCTCATGCTTAATCCTTGCATATCGTATAATTGGGGTTTCCTATATTTTGATTTTGATTTTGTTAGGGTGACAAATATGGATGAATTATGTTGGACCGCTTTGATGCTTAAATTGTAATAATGGGGAGTCCAGCTGAACCGTCGTCGTCCATCAGTTTTACATCATCTTCTCATGTATCTAATGGCTCTAATAATAAAGATGCCTCTGGAGGCTCTGAGATGGGGTCCAATCTTGATATCATCAGCTTAAGTAAACTGAGCATTAATTTGGAGCAACTTTTATGTGATTCCGGTAGTGATTTCAGTGATGCAGATATTGAAGTTGAAGGCACTAGTGTTGGTGTTCACCGATGTATATTAGCTGCTAGGAGTAAATTTTTTTATCATTTTCAAAAAAATAAGAGATCCATTGGGAAGGAAAGCAAGCCCAAGTATTTCATGACAGACCTATTGCCTTTTGGCCAAGTTGGATATGAGGCTTTTCTTATTTTCTTGAGCTACTTGTACACAGGAAAGCTAAGGTCATCTCCACCGGAGGTGTCAACATGCGTTGATAACATATGCGCCCACGATGCTTGCAGACCTGCAATCAACTTTGCTGTGGAATTGATGTATGCATCTACTGTTTTTCAAGTTTCGGAATTGGTCTCACTTTTTCAGGTAAACTATCAGTTTCTAGTTGATTACCACTTAGCACTTTCATTTGATAGATGTAATATTGATCTCTGTTCATAAACTCTTTCGAGCCCTTGATTTCTAGATGTGAGTTGTATATTGGTAATCATGCTTCAATAGTAACTTAATCAGATAATGTTTATTCAGCCATTTGCAAGTCATAGTTGCTTTGAAATGAAAACTTCTCTGGTTTCTAAATGATGCAATGTCGCAAACGCTCGACTAAATGTGTGCTTAAAACCACCCGAGAGCCAAACATGGCATTATCATGGGAATGGATTTTCAACAAACTAACAATATAAGTTGCTGGAACTGTATGTTCAAATCAATGCATTTTGTGGACAATGAACAAGTCAGTGGGCTGGAGTTGACATTTACGTTGCTAATAATAACAACAATGATATTATAGATGACTACTGGTACATTAAGCAGTTAAGGAGCATGCTTTTCAATGTATTTGTATGCTGCTTCATTATATATTAATGCAATAATGTGAAGGACACTGCATTTTGGCTAATGATTTTAAGAACTCTTTCATCTGGAAACTGTTTGAGGGAAACCTTGTGTATGTTATTATGCAAACGACAAGATCAGGTTGCTGCTGCTTTACCTTAGCATGAAAAGAAGTCTGTAATGGTGTAAAAGCTTAACCACTTTTTGTCCTTAAAATTTCTAACTAAAGCATGTAGTGTAAGTGCATCTTTTCCCTGACTATTTTCCTGCAAAATTTCTTTCAGTCACAACAAGGGATAATATCTCAATGTTAATTTGCAGCGTCGACTTCTCAACTTGGTTTTCAAGGCTATTTTAGAAGATGTTATCCCAATATTGTTGGTCTCCTTTCATTGTCAATTACCTCAACTTCTCACGCATTGTGTCAATAGAGTGGCACAATCAGACCTTGAGTCCATCGCTATTGAGACAGAGCTCCCCTACAACGTTGCAGAGGATATTAGATTGCTCCGCCTTAATTCGCAGGCTGAAAATGAGGTAACTGTTGATCCATTGCGTGAGAAGAGAATTAAGAGAATACACAAGGCATTAGACTCAGATGATGTTGAACTTGTCAGGCTTCTTCTAACTGAGTCTGATATAACCTTAGATGAGGCTTATGCTCTCCACTATGCTGTTGCATATTGTGATCCTAAGATAGTATCTGAGGTTCTTAGTCTAGGTTTGGCTGATGTTAACCTTCGGAATAGGCGGGGTTACACTGTGCTTCACATTTCTGCTATGCGCAAGGAGCCATCAATTATAGTCTCTCTTTTGACCAAGGGAGCCAGTGCATCAGAAACGACATTGGAAGGACAGTGTGCAGTTAGTATTTGTAGGGGTGGGCGCGGGTCGGTTCGGTTCGGTTTTTTTCGGTTCCAGAAATTTTCGGGTATTTAGTAAATGGAACCGTCGGTTCCAAATATAATTTTGGAACCATTCGGTTTCGGTTCGGTTCGGTTCGGTTCGGTTCTATTCGGTTCCGTTCGGTTCCGTACTATAATTAAATTTTTTAACATTTAAAATAATACTACATAAATATACCTTAAAGTGGATACCAATATTAATAACAAAAAGTAGATACAAATACCAAGTTCAATCTTAACTTTTACAAATTAACGTAATCTAATTTAATAACATATAAATAATAAGTTGTCAAATACAAATACCAAAAAGTAAATATTACTAATAAAACTTCGATATTCATATCAATAATTCATTTGCTTCAAACCTTCAAATCTACATAAAAGTGAAATATAAATTAGAAGTCACAAATATAAAATATTTTAAAGTATTGATAATACTTACCAACTATTTAATGTAATTATTAGTTGGTTGACTTTCCATACTAACTATTAAGAAACTATATAAGAAAAAATTGAAAAAAACACAACTAACAAACATAAATAAACTCTAAATTGTTCAACTAATAAGATTTAATAAGAAAAAAATTATTAATTTGTTTAGAAAAAATAAAAGAAATTAATTTATCCAATATAAAAAAAAAAGTTCGGTTCTTATTCGGTTCTTCGGTTCTTGGTCGAGAACCGAGAACCGAACCAAACCATTCGGTTCTCGATTCGGATACCCGTTCGGGTATTTCATTTTAAAAAACCCGCTCGGTTCGGTTCGGTTCCGGTTCGGTTCGGTTCGGACATTTTGCCCAACCCTAAGTATTTGTCAGAGATTGACGAGGCCAAAAGATTATCAGGCAAAAAGGGAGCAGGGGCAGGAAGCGAACAAAGACAGGATATGTATTGATGTTTTGGAGAGAGAGATGCACAGGAATCCAATGGCTGGAGACGTATTAATGTCTTCCCTGACAAAGGTTGATGATCTGCATATGAAACTGCTCTACCTAGAAGACAGAGGTAACTTCCTTAATCTGGTATTCTTGAACTGTGTAGTCACTACTACTTTCTAAATCATTCAAACGAGAATAAAAGTATTTACGATTTTCTGCATCTATGTTACTGAATAATAAGTTGTACAGCATTTCACTTTCATATTGTGTATTTTGTAACTGCTTGAGTTAATTCCCGAGATTTTGGATTTTTGTATTGTCTTTTGCTTGCAATATATAAACACTGAAAAAGCGTACGAGGTATTTAAAATCGTGTTCAAGATCTTTCGGCCTATGTAAACTGTTGCCAAAAAACTATGAAAAGTTAAGAAGTTTTAAAGGTTCATGTCTGTTGAATGTTCTAAGCAGGGAGGCCCTCAACCCAAATACCCAAAATAACATGAGAGAATATATAGAGAAAAGAATTGGCATGGGGTACTTCCCATGCTCAACTAAAGAAAATTAGACTCAAAGCAATGCGTATATAGAAGTAATTTCGAGTAGTTCCGCTGTGCAAAGAAATAGCATTTGGTAACTATGTCGGTGGAATCAACATGTCGGACTTGGGAAATTCTTCACTATTGGGGGTCATGAGACCATTATTAATACAGGAATTCGAAAAGAACAAAATAAAAGAGTTTATGAACATTTAGATCCATGATAGCTTGTAAACTGACATTGTGGCAAGTTTATTCTGTTTGCTAAAGAAGTAGGAGCAACCAAATGTCAATTTAAGATGTTTGGAGTTAGGACTTGCTTACAATGCTGGCATCTGCTTCTGCTGTAAAATTGCATGGCTTGAATCTTATGCAAGATATATGATGTTTCATGCATATAAATCAGTATATTTTTTTATTTATGTGTCACAGTGGCATTTGCACGAATGTTTTTCCCCACTGAAGCTAAGCTAGCTATGGAAATTGCACATGCTGAGACAGCTTCTGAGTTATCTGGACTTCTATCATCAAAAAGTTCAATTGGGAACTTGAGGGAGGTTGATTTGAACGAGACACCCCACATGCAGCACAAAAGGTTTCTCGCAAGAATGGAAACCCTATCAAGAACAGGTATAAAAAACTTTGTAAGTTTTTCCAACTTGTCAAATTTCAGACTTTCATCTCAACTTGCAAAGTGCAGTTGACCTCCCATTGCTTTAGCTTAATGAAATGGAATGGCTCGTACATAAGAACTACAACACGCTTCCTCCATTCTTCATATGTATGTTTATTCTTAAAGATAACCATAAAATATCAGCCTCAACCAAACGTTCCATACTTCAATTGGAATTCCATCAAGACATTGTTTTCCTCATCTTCATCATCTCAAGTTCCCCTGAATTCTCTCTTCTTGTATGGCGAAATTGTGACAATAAATTTTTCTCATCATCATGCTCTTTAGTCCCCCTATGTTCTTCCACTCTTTGTTGTAAATTGCAAAGCCCTTTTTTTCTATTTCATCTATCTGCTAATATAAGTATTTTTTGCAAGAATTCTGACCTCGTTAGGAGGTTTTACCGAGGAAGTATTGTAAAGCATTTACTGGCTGTTCTTTATAGAATAATGAAGCAATACAAACACCTTCTGATAGATGGCTCTAATCTCTGTTCAAAATTTATTTTCCAAAATTACTGGGTTAAAATGTTGTTAAACTTTCTGTATTTGACATGATGGCAGTTGAGTTGGGACGTTGGTATTTCCCTCATTGTTCTCAAGTACTGGATAGGTTTATGGAGGATGATTTGCCTGATCTATTTTATCTTGAGAAGGGTACTCTAGAGGAGTAGAGAATCAAGCAGACGCGCTTTATTGAACTCAAAGATGAAGTTCAAAGGGCATTCAACAAGGACAAATCCGAGCTTCACCGCTCTAGATTATTTTCGTCTTCCACTAAACATGGTGTAAATTACAAAGTCAGGAAATTGTAAAGATACATTCTGCATCTGCAATAATGTTGACAAATTATACCCTTTTGGATTGAAGCTAGGGTCTTACCAAGCTAGAAGTTGATCTTTATGTAAAATTTTGGAGGGAATAAACATTTTTCGCAGTGCAAGTGTAATCCTTTATTAACCTTGGCTTTAGTGTAGCAGAAAATGAAAAAAAATATTAGTTAACACTCGGGCAAGAGATCTTTGGGGAAATGTTATATTGCTTGTTTGGTCGAGATAACAGTTTGACATAAACATATTTCGAGTCTAGATAACTCTTCCACCTGAATTTACCTTACACGGTTTCTATTGTAATAGGCAAGTGGGACTTTGGTTTGAAAGCCACAATTAGGTATTCCCACTCTTCGGGGTTTCTAAAAATGACTCATAATCTATTCACTCTCCATATTCCAAAATTAAGTTAAATAAGCTCACTTTAGACTTCATTATGATCCAAAATCAATTTTTCGAAGTCCACTCGAATATTTACTCGAAAATGACAATTCACCCAGTTCTTCGTGCCATTTTCCGAGAAATTTCTTACTGTCTTGTGCGCGTATACAAATAGTGAATGGAATATAAAGGGAAATGGCTGAGAAAAAAGTTGGATGGGTTGGCGAAATTAGGCACAAGTAACTCTCCAGTTCGCTACGCCAATAAATGCCCATTTTGTAACAAAAAAACCACTTGTACAGTAATTAGAGGGCTGTAAATTTTACAGCCCTCTCTAATTAGTGTGGGCCCCACAAATTAATTAATGGGAACAATACATAAATAAGGTATTTAACTATCACCATTTCAAAATTAAGGTTTGAAGTTTTAAATTTCAAAAATCAGGTTTTCATTAAAATTTATTTATAATTTA